TTGTTGCTGCTGACTGGTTGTCACAAACACACAGAACACCATGACATACACACATGCTTAAGTACAGAAGACATCCAGGTAGATAAACTATGGCTACAGCTGTGCACACACAAGTGCATATACCCACACATTCCTCTCATCTTGCCATATTGCCACACACACACACTAACCATTAACACACACATAAACGCAGATGCTTACACCCCTGTGATGTAACGGTTATTGTCCTACAGAGTGGTTTGTCACTCTGATAGGCTGGACCTCTGCCTCTGTGGTTCACCCATCATGGTATTTTTATTTTATCGTTTTTGAAATGTCAAAAAACATCATGCACAATGTGCACTTTAATTTATGTTGTTTTGAAATGTCTTTCTGAGGGTTTCATGTTGAATGCACTTTTGTTGCTTTCAGGTCTGTTTGAGTGAATTGCATAGTTTGAAAAAATACTGTTTTGCTAAATTTAACTTGTTTGTGATTTCCCCCTTTTTGGATGTAAGTTTAAAATTGTTCCAATTGCTGGGCACGTTAACACGTTATTATCGCATTAATGCATTAATTAATTAATGATACCAGTTATTTTACCGCACCTTAACGCAGTATTTATCATTATTATTGTGAAAGTCTATTGCTCACTGGCTCTGAATACACATAAAGTCAAACCATGGGTCACAGTAGAGGTGGGATGTTTATCAGCCTTGAAATCACCCAACCAAACAAGCAGTGGAGGGAGGCTTCGGCAGCGTGTGGGAGAAGTAGACAAACAAAAGCAAGACAAGCGATCAAATGCCATAGAGAAGTGGATAGCTACACACTGCATGCTGATGAGTATTGGGGAAGATGTCGGTCTTAGGAACGTTCTTAAAATCACGACGTAGTCGCGTGGCCCTACGGGGTTGCTCTTTGCTCCTCTGGTGAACAGGAGACAAGCGCTCGGCAAGTAAAGGGCAGGGCTCTATGGATAGTAACAGAAGTAACAAAAGTAAGTTTTGCGGAGAAGCTCTGCCATGCAAATTACCTCCTGTTGATGTCCTATTCAGTAAACAGTAATAGATTCTGGAAACTCACAAACAGCGAGGATCAGTCTCTCATCCAATGATTTGTACTGCGCGTTGCATACAAAGTTCAAAACAATTCAACTTCGGTAGCAGGCGGGAATGTGAGTGAGGCGAGCACAACCGCAACAGTTTCACGGGAATGCACCCGCTTGTCACTATTCCTTGTCCTCGACCATTTCGCCTCACTCTAACAGGGAAACTTGACACTGAATATAGACTCTTTATGCTGCTCCCTGATAAAAGAAAAATGTTTCTGCTGATACCTGTTCAGAAAAAAATAGAAAGCTGGACTTGTTTGTTTTAACAAGCTAGATAAAAGGTAATTCCCTGGCAGTGGCAGGTTTTATATTTGATTTGATTACATTAATGTTTAAGTTGAGATTTGCAAGAAGTATTTTATTGCTACTGTGTAAAGGGAATAGTTCTGGTAAATAGCACCTTATTTGTTTACGCCCCCGGAACAGGGGGCAGCATGTGATCGTCAAAACTTCTGACTTTTGCTGTTTTGCTGTGCATGCTGTCTATCGCCTTTGGCCCCGATCAGACAGAAAGTGCTTTGCACGTTCAAAAACGTGAGGCGCAATGCAGTGCCTTTTTGGGTTGAATTTGGAAAAGAGCATCGTGCTGCATTTTTTTTATGTTGCTAGGCAACCACCGAATCAGCTGTCCTGTCAGTCTAATCAAAGATTATAGCACCAGCGATCTGTGATATTTGGTTTGCCACTAAGTAATAACTGTCATATTAGCAGAAACTTGATCACAACTCACAGGACTGTGAGCTTAAAACATCTGCTTTAAAACAAACAAAACGGAGGGCGCCTGCTCTGGCACTGTTTGAAGGTGAGAGGTGTACAAACACGCAGGGAAATGGAGATCCGTGTGGGTACATGAGACCATCAGTAAGGGGATACCCTGCTGGTAATAATAATAATCCTTATTTGTAGAGCATTTTTCAAAAACAAGTTACAAAGTGCTTTAACAAGTGTAAAGAATAATACAAAAAAACAAGATAAGAGCATGAAAAATTATATAAAATTAGTAAAATACAATAACCACTACCTAAAATACAAGTACCACTAGCTGGTCCAGTAGCTTTGTCTGTATGATGGTCAGTTCAAGGCTTATTTTAGGATGAGTCCAATTCAAGCAACTGTAAGCTTCTGTCACCACAACTGTGTCTCTCCATTCATTCAATTAGACAATGGAAAAACGCAAATGACGTCGGGTGCTTTTCTGCTCAGAGCTGAATTTTTTTCAACTATGTGCACTAAGAGCGCTCCTTCAAAAACGCAAGGCGCAGCAAGTGCCCAAAACGCGAGGAGCCCAGGACGCATAAACTGTGCACAGAACACTCACTGCCAATAGAATACAATTTTAAAAAGGCGCCTCTCACTGCAAAAAACACATTCTGTCTGTTTCAGGCCTTTTTCTGCTATATTCTGAAAATATTGTATGATAACTGTTGTAGTTTATTTTCATAAAATGAAGCCATTCAGTTGCATCATAATCTATCTTATACTGGTTTTGATGGTTTATTGCATTAAAAATATAGCTTTTTTTACCAGGCGAGTATAAAATATTTTTTTCCTCCATTTAGTCTGTAATGGTAAAATAAATTTGTTAATATACATTGGAATCATATTCCTTAGCTTCTGACCTTTCAAAGAAGACAATCTAGACCGTTATGCATCTAGGCCAAGTGATTGAGGAGCTATTCCTGATTCATTTTGAGAATGTTATTTTAGGCATTTTTCTTGGAAATAGGGGCAAATAGCGTTTCCAACAGGTTAAACAGGCAAAACCACATGTTATGGCACTTTTGTGAACATAGCAGTATATTTAAATTAAAAGTGTGTAATACACTACTTTAGAATTCGTTATTCAATTTTGTGCATAACAGTGTGATCAATTACCAACGATTAAAAATTGTAATCCAGCGCTAATAATAAACAATAATAATAATATCCATTAGGATTAGAGATGTCAAAGCTGATCCAGTTATATTTTAATAAATCTGTATTTACAGTGTTTTTTCAGCAATGTTATGAAGTACAGTGATTTGTAATGTATTTAATTCACCGGACTGACCAAAAACTGACTTTTCAATTTGGTTATTCAGACTGTAAATGGTTGCATGACTTATTTTATTACTACCTTTACATAAACTTCTGTACACATTGATTTATAGTAAGAACGTTTGTCCATATTCAAGTGCCCTACTAACAAATTACACGTGCAACAAATTTGATTAATTTTGATACAGACACGTGTTTCAATCGACTTATCTCTCAATGTAAACTCAAGTGAAAAATAATTTGTATCTGCCCCGTGATTCAGATGCACTCCATAATTTAATGGGTTCTTCTTTGGCCCATGCTACACCCTTTCAAGATGTAAAAATGGGCCAGTAGATTTTCTGTAATCATGCTGACAGATGGCACCAAAAACAGTTTTAAGTCCAAAAGCCATCCACACCATCGTTTCAGCTGCGTTTTGGAGTTGAACTCCGTCGCACATCTACTGGCCATTCAGGTACACTGGACATGCGCGTGCCAGTGTAAACATGAAGCAGATGGTCTCTTCCTAGTTACAGAAGATTTGGCGAAAGAAAAAATAAATACACACAAAGAAGGTTTTTTTTAATGCACCAATAAGGAGCTGGGACTTTTACTGAGTGTAACACGGGAGTGTGGCAGCAGAAAACAGACTGGGAGTCATTGCAAAGTAAATACAGCAACATGCACAGTACAAGTGTAGGCAGATATGTATTATTTGCATGGTACAGAATATTTTAATAAAAATACCATGTCAAAAACCCGGTCAGTAGCATCGTATTTCTGCTTTGCATGACTTATAAGACCCAGTCAGAGAGCTGAGCGTGAGCGGCTGCGTCATCATTTCTTAAGTCCTCCGTTTTCTGCCCGTCTTCCCTAAAACGCCCTCCGGAGTTTTGAAACGCAAAACGGGGTTGGCAGCGTTTCTAAACTCCTCCGTTTTAGGTCTTCGTTTTTGCCGTTGTAGTAATCTGGACGGGAGGTGCAAACATAGCAAAAGGTCTCCGTTTTAATTCAAAAACGCAGTAATATGGATGGGGCCTTAACCCCTATTTGCTCTAGAGGCGTGTGACCTCTGACAGACTTAGCAAAGGTAAGTCGCTTTGAATAAAAGCGTCAGCTAAATTAATAAATGTATCTACAATGTGTATATATGTGTCCTTTTATGTTTCATTATTTACCTCTTGGATTTGTCCATAAAGCTGCTTATGTTTTTAATTTTCTGACTGTGATATTGCTTGAAAAGTGCTCCATAAATAATTATTCATTTCTTCCCATTTCCAAACATAATTGTAAAGCCATAGTCTAAATAGTGTTATGTAGCTTTATTGACATTGTGTGATATATCTACATCTATAAGTAATAATGGTATCTTTTGTTATTTTGATCAATGTATGTTTTAATATATTGACATTTAATCATACCAAATGTCAGCACACAAAAGTGAGTTTAAAAAAAGTGAGCTCCCATTAACACCACTGTATAATGCTGAGTTGGTTGGGGTAAAGTGGAAAAAAGGGATGGGGCTTGAAGGCAGAAGAGAGAATGTTAATGAAATGACAGAATCAGGGGCCGACCCCCAAAACTAGAGCAGTAAAATATGGGGTTTTGTTTACTTTTTCCGAAGTGAAATTCTCACTCACTACTCCCAACTACTGATAGCGACAGTGGCCGAGGTGGTCCTCACAAAGAACTCAAAGATCATGGTCAACACTAAGTAGTAAAGACAGGTTTGTGTGTGTGTGTGTGTGTGTGTGTGTGTGTGTGTGTGTGTGTGTTCACTAAGCTGAAGAGCAGTTGTCGTTGACAGCTGCATGGGAGTAGGGAGAGAAAGAGTCAAGTGGCTTCAAATTGCTGTCGTTGTCCTCATTCATCAGGGAAACATCCCCCTCCCTCCCACCTCAGCAGCCACTGGTGTGAAGTTTACATTTCTTTTGTTAACACAGTCATGTTGTTTTTTAATCTGTGCTTTCACCATAAAATGATGTTTCATAGTATACAGTTCAGTCCACTCTGGAGGTAAGTGTAGAGGTGTAATGGTGATTGCTCATCTTTCTGCTCCTGAGGCGGGGGCACTCTCATCAGGGTATTCATTCTCTTTGTATATGCAGTAGGTAGGTAGGCTTTCTTTTCTCAGTTTAGCCCATCAAACAGCTTTACATTGAAAAGACGTTGACACTCAAATTTCTTAACACCTGAGGTTATTTTTATTTCATAGGCAGAGGGTTGGTTCTTGTCTCTTGACAATCTGTGACATCTGTCATTTTTGTATGACTCAGGAATACAACCAAAAGAAGCAGTTGTCACTATTTTGCACCGAGACTTTTATTTTTCAGGTCAAAAGATGGACATTAAGGTTAAAACTGGACTAAAAGTGATTTATTTGAACATCTAAGTTACAAAAATATACCATGTTTGAATAACACTTAAATAAGGGTGGCAACTGATTCTCATTTGCGTTATTTATTATTCCATTATATTTTAATTGATTCATTCATTGTTTAGGGTATTAACTGTAAAATAAATAGAGGAAAATGTCCATTGTAAATTAACAGAGGCCAAGGTGATGTCTTTAAATTGTTTTTGTGGGAGGAATATTTTGGCACATCTCAAAACTGAAAGAAACTTATGAAAAAGGTTTTCTAAGATTGAAGGCTTGCATTATGCTTTGATAGGCAGAATTTTTTACAGAGTTTAAAATTTGTCACTATTCTCCCTCTTCTTGTTTTCCAGGTTTGAAACCTTTACAACTATGCTAGTGAAAAGGTTCTGAAACGTTAAAACAGCAGGCACTAGTTAACTGGTTATCTACTGCAGATGGCATCCTGACCGCGATCCTGTTTGCGTCAGTCAATGGCGGAGCAGTCTATCAATCCCACCTAACCTGGTAAATATTACATGGAACTGTATCTTAACTGCACCTTTTTTATGACCATGTGTTATGGAGTTTCAGAGTGTTATTTTTTTTACCACCATAATATTAATGGACACGATATTTGTGTTAAGTTCTGAACCTACTCTGCCTCTGACTGGCTAACCCAGACCTTACTCTTACCCTAACCTTAACCAAAAAGTACTACCCAATCAGAGGCAGAGTTGTGGAATATGTGGTGGGGGAAAAATGATTCAGACCAGAGCTGTAAGACAACACCTCCAGAAATCACGCGACTCCCAAGCTGACAAATGTGTGGGCAGGTTTTTGGGTCAACTCAGCCCAAATGCAAATGCAAAATAATGTTTGCAGAGATTTGTTTTCCGCCTATCAAAACATTGTGCAAGCCATCTAAACTTAGTTTTTAATTTTGCAAAACCTTTTTTAAATTAACGTTGACATATTCATCTCATAAAAACCCAAAAGTATTCAATCACCAACAGAGAACCAGCAAATCCACACATTTGAGAGGCTTTGAGCAGAAAATGTTTGGAGCCTGATAAATGACTTCAATTATTTACTGATTCTAAACATTGTTCTCAATTTATTTTCTGCCCAGCAGTAATTTCAGTGACTGCTTCTCTGAGACCCTAGGGTAGACACCCTACATGTTAAAATATAGGTAATGAATTCCTTTGATTGAAAAAACAATCAAGAGATACTGTATGTAATCTCGATATCTGAATTTTCTTTACAACCTTATCCAAGATTTTAACATAGTTTTCAAGATGTTATTTGATTTGCAAATCACCAATCACCAAATCCATTATTACCTCCTAGTCATTGTAAGATCTTACTGGGACAAGTGTGTCCCAATTCCATACTACATTTTAACAGTATGTGTGTGCGCTAGTTTATTTACAAATTGCCATATTACACTGTGAACTTGGTGTACAAGAAACTCAACTGTACTAACAGGAATGGAAGCAGTATGTGCCCCAATGGATATCAGTCAAAACTGTGACTTTGCCAAAAAGAGAGAAAGAAAGACTTAATAATTATGTGTTTTCTAACATCTTCCATCTCTCCAGGGCATTTTATTTTTTGCAGCTGTCAGCAACTCTTCCGTTTCCTTTGAGCAGTGCACTGTGGGACACTAGAGTACATCGACTGCATCCTACGCTCATAAATCAAAAGGATTTAGTATGCATACAGACTACACTTTATCTTGTTTCAGTATGGTCAAAACCTGCTTGGAGTTTGTACACAGTTTTGCAATTGGAGTTGTTTGGTTAACCATTACATAAATATAAGATTATCAGTTGAAAACCATCCAAAACTAACTTTTTCTTTGCCATAAAATACTGACAGTTTTTAGTTGACATTGAATCAATACTCCTTGTAAAACAGTGTTCGGACTCATCCTGCTTTTGCCGTCTGCCAAATTCTTGCTGTGCAGTCTCCTCAACACCAAAACGACCTTTCCTCCAGCCATAACACTCCCATGTCTGTAGCCCAGTTGTCCCAGTAAGGCAAGTTCTGCCAAGTCCTTCAAGCGCCTGGCTTTGGAGTTTGACAACACATGTCTCTGTCTGTCTGTCCCCAGACTTTTTCCAGTTTAGGAATGTTGTCCCTGCCTGTTACAGAAGCACAAAGAGTCTTGTCTTTGTCCACATCCGTCAAGATCAGATTCTCTCACTCCTCCGTGAGTCCACTTTTGTTTCCACGATCCCTTTCTATCCACACTTTCAGCTTTCAGCTCAGCAGGGCTGCGCTGCTGCTGCACAGACCGCTGTAACACCGCGCTGCAATTAGACCAGAAGCTGTTAACAGCACAAAACGGACGTCTGACCGATTTTCAGTTTCTGTCAGTCATCCCATAACAGCAGCAGAGCAACAGAGTAGAGCAGGAGTGGAGGAAAGAAGCTACAGCTGAAGTAGGAGTGAAGAGTGGGGAAGAGTCTCAGCAGTCTCTAAAACCAATACAAATCCTTGCTCTTATCCTGTGCCTGCAGACCTGAGAGGGGAGGAAAGAAAAGAGGAAAAGGAAAGAAAAGGCAGTGGAAGAAGAGAACAGCAAGAAAAGGGGAGATTAGAAAAAGTAGCGCAAATGTTTTGTTGATAAAAGCAGGAGGAATTGCCCGAGGCAGGGAGGGGATGAAAGCAAGAAAGCAACAGAAAAGGAAGTTGACAGCTGGTGTTAAAGTGCTGATTGACAGTCAGTTTGTTGGTTCAAACCCCTTGTGGTAAGTTGATCTGAGGCAGGGTAAAATTCTTCATTCAAATCTGGTTTTCATGCTTTCAAGTTGTTGCTTTGCTACGTGGTCATACTGAATATCTTGAATAATGTTTTCATGTAAGCATCATTCCACCCAAACACTTAAACAACTAAATTAATAATTAGTCCTGTGGATGGTTGTGCATTTAACAAACTGGGGTTGGCCAAGTTCAGCGTCAGCCCAAACAAGCAGGACATTTTCAGTGTGTCAATATGGAAGAGCTAAAATGCATCCGAACAGCTTTGCAAATGCTTATTTTACAAATCTGCCTGTTTTCAATGATGACATATGTAAGTCAGCTTGACTTAGATTTCACTATCTGCAAAGCGTTTTCATTGGTTGCTGTTGAAGATGAAATGATACTAAACTCCAATAATTTTATTGTATAACCAGTGTTTCGACTACACTTTGTCCTTTTCCTGAGAATGTAAAAATGTTTGTTATACAGTAGAATCATTAGAGCTTAGTGTGGTTGTCTTCATTTAATACTGTATTTGGTGTTCATTTACCAGACAAATCTTTTTGTTTTGCACATTTAGTCACAGGTCAACCATGTGATCACACACATAACTATTATGTGTTGTATTGCCCTAGTACAAGTGCCTGAAATCACAGATTTGACATTATTAACCTACCCCAATGAGAAGCTCCAACGTTCTCAGAAAGTTTCATGTTAAGCGGCTGTTTCCAATAACTTTTGACTAAAAGGTAATTGCTATCTGAGTTTCAATAAATCTGTTCTCAACTGACCAAATGTAATAATCCACAACAGGTATTGAAATAACAGCATTTCAGCTCCTCAGTGACCATTTTGGATTCACAACTAAGACCAAGCCTTGTCTCCATTCAAGTTATTCAAGTGATTGTATATACAGTATGTGCTGAGCCAACCATGTCTCCAACAAATTACATATCTGGCAAGCTGCAAAAATGTTGATACTAAAGTCATCAGTCATCTTATCAATGATCTTATCTGATTTTGCAATACACTATTAACTCGTAGTGGCTACATCTTTTATGGTTATGTTTAGGCACTGATTGCACTTGGTTAGGGTTAGGGAGATCAGCCTTTAGGGTTAGGGTTAGGGTTAGGGTTAGGGTCACAGAAAAAGTCCACAGTGATTTGATTCAGGAGATGTGTAATTAACATTTAACCAAAACCACAAATTCCCTGAGACTCCCTGAGTACAGTGCTGCTGTATGTAAACCTTTACATAATCCAGGCAGCGATTACGTTTGACAGCAAAGCGTAAATGGGAGAACAATTTAGTACTATATAAATGTAAGTTTTTGAAGATAAGGTTGGCTGAGCTGAACTTACTGTTCAGACTTACAAGTTTTAGATTTCTGTTTAGAATTTGCTGATGGCTTGTCTGCCCTCTCTACATTCCAAAAAAAAAAAAGCCTCTCTATTGTAATGCTAAGTTGCTAAAAGACAGACATGAAAGAAAATCATTAGAATAAGCTTATGAGCTGTTGACTAATAACATGTCTTGACCAAGCTCGGTGGTGTTTAGAGTGAAGATCAAGATCAACTTTTGGCTCACAATAGCACATAACTGTCATGAGTTTGAATGATGACAGATGATGTCATTCTATTTCTCAACAATTTTACTATAGTTTCTTCTGTCTATAATCTGTACGTAGAACATCTTTTGCATGTCTGTCTGTCCTGGAGGAGAGATCTAAGTACCAGATTTAGGTTTTTGTGGAAGGGTGGATTTCCTTAGCTAAAGAATAAAAGATGTAGTCTTTTGATTTGAGATTTTGGGTTACATGAATAAAATTGACTTGATGTGAAATATTGACAATACCTGTGTCAACGTTTAGTCCGATCTCTGCTCCGGCTCCGGTGAAAGCACCGCTCCAGGCAGAAGCCGTACCTGACTCCCCCTTCCCTCCCAGGTCACAGGGCGAGGCGCTGGGCCCCGGTACCGAGCTGCAGGACGTCAGACGGTGATGAGGCCTCACTGATGGCACCAGCAGAGAACCGTAGCGGGGGTCGAACGCTGTGCTGTACATCTCGTGTCCCCCCGGACGTGTATATGCTGAGCCTTGGGTGCCTATAGTGCCCCCTAGTGAGTAAGGGTGGTGGTGGTGATGGTGATGATGATGGGATGGGTGCCAGGCGTCAGGGCTGGGCTGGTGGAGATGGCTGTGCAGGGAGGAGGAGGAGTACGGGTCCGCAGGGAAGGGGAGCTCTGTGTGGGGAGCTGACAGAGCGCTGCCTAGGGTCGAGGAGACTGAGGGCTGGTAGGAACTGTTCCAGAAAGACGGAGGGAAACTTCTCTGGCTCATAGGGAATGATCCATCTGTGAAGACAGAAATCCGTGCTTATGTTTTACAAACCAGACTTGTTTACTTTTCCGAAATAGTTACTAAATTAACTAATTATTAGAGCATATTTAAGTTAACATTTTAAAACTTGAGGCTGAATGTTTGTTTTTGACCTCAAAAATTGGTAGACAAGAAATTCTTATCACAAGGTCCACCAAATCTGTCAGCCATATTGCAGTCATAATACATCACTTTAAAACTCCTTTAAATGTGTGCTTTGGTGATATTGTATTCATCTCTTATTGTGAAGAACTAATTAGAGCTGAATTGATTAGTCAACTGACAGAAAATGTGTTTTTCATTTGAGTCTCTTTTCAAAGCCAAATATTTGTTTGTACTGCAACGGCTTCTAAAATGTACTTGGGGCCTTTCTCTGTTACATATAATTATAAACTGATTATCTATGGGTATTTGAACTGTTGGTAGAAAAAGTTGGAAATTTAAAAGCCAGGAGTGGGAATTTACCTTACATTTCATAGACAAAACAATTGATTAATTGAGAAAATAATTAGCAGATTAATGGATTTTGTCAACCATTAGTTGCAAGAAATGAATGGTCATTAAATGCAATACTTAAAATATTGCCTTGTTTGTTTCTGTTTGGATTCAGAAGTTGCTAGATTACACAAAGGTGCTGGAATTGAGAAACAGCCATGAAAGGAGATTCATCGAATACCAAGTCGGTAAAGTTTGAACATGGTAATACCATTTTATTTCACCATCCTGTTTATCTCAGGTGACAGAGAGACTAGGTAATGTGATGCCAAAGAGAAATACACTTGAGCACAGTTCGCAGTCCGTGATAGATCCAATGACAGTACAAAAAATATTTACAAACTGAGAAATTCCCAGGAAATACTTTTAACTCTCTAATGTACATTTTCAAAGCCCATTTGCAAGTTACTTAAAAAGCAGCTCTCCAAATGAAAAATAAAATTGTTTCTTTATCCCAAACCAACCCTCTAAAGGGATCCCTACTGTTACGTGAATTCAAATGACTCCAAATGTACCCTATTGTACTTTGAATCTTCCGTATAGTGTCATACAAAACTGTTTGTTATTATATTTTTGCTTCGGGTTATTTACATCATCTCACTATGTTGTTTGACTTTACATTTCCATCAAACGCAACAACAGCCACTATAATAAACAAAAGCTGACACTTGCAAAATACTATTATTCTATCTATATATTTATGTAGACGTGATCATTCTTGCAGTGTTTGTCTATGGAAAACCCTCAACCTCCATCCAATCCAAGCGCAATCCAATGTGACTAAGCTTAGATTTCACACGAGTAAATTTATATAGAATTCTATACAGAATTTTTGTGGATTCAGTTTTACACAAAAACACTCAATAGCAGAGCAAAACTGTAAATCAGCAGTTTCAGATCAAATGTGCAATGTCTATCAAAAACCAATATTAGTCAAACTGAAGATTTTGTGGTTTAGAACTGTACTCTTGACTGAAGTGATTCAAAGAAACCATTTTTCATAACAATATTTAATCAAATGTTACCTGGTGAAAATCTGAGAGACCAAGACAAAGTCACTGAATCCTGGGAAACAATATTGCTTTTAACAGCCTCAGTCCCACAATATCAAAACTCTCAACAGCAGGAACCAAAATTACTAAAGTTTACAGCACAAACACACCAGAATTTCCAAAAAACATTGAAGAGTTTCATGGGTTTCACTGGATAAATGTCTCGATGATGGTCAGACTGCTGTTTCAGATTGTCTTCGACACTAACAGACATACGTTTAGGGAAAAACGCTGACACACACACCTCTTACGGCCTTGTGGCTGCTTGAAGCAGGGTATGCAGTTGTGTGGCTGAGGGCTCGGCTGAAGTGCTCGTCCACCACAGCGCTGATGTCTCCCTGGAAGTAAGTGAAGAGGACGCAGCGGGAGCTTAGGTACTCGGCACCCGGCGGCAGCTCCTTGTCCTCCTCTTTGATCGCCGGAGGGCCCAGGGGGCCGAGCCGGCTGGCGCTGTCCTGGGGATCTTGCATTTTGGAATACAAGGCCAGTTTCTAAGAAGGACATGCAGATTATTATTATTATAAGTTATCAACACATGTGTTTATTACTTTGCATAGATACATACTACAAAGAGTTTAAGCAATATGTGACATTTGACCTCTAAAAATGTGTTTGTTTTTTTCAGGACACAACAGGTGTGTAGTAGGAGATGACTCCACCCAAACTCTGTCATCTATTTATGTACAAACCAACATAAATTATATAAACATATAAGCCAAGGGCTTGGCTTTTATTTAAAAACTAAGAAGAAAATAATTACACCTAATGGTTCACCTGTCTTTTAATTTACTGTGGTATCACTATATAAATTGAAGCACACCCATATATTAACTATGGCAGTTTTCAAATATAAAAACTTTGCACCTCATTATTGCTGCACAAAATGACAGAACAAACTGTTTCACTGCTTTTTTAAAACCATACTTATTCATATGATAATAGAAAAAAGTCTTGATTATGGTGAAAAACTATGTAAATGAAAGTAAGTTACAGTACGACATTATTATATGACAAATGTATTTGATAAACCATATAAAATTATATTCATACAACTCTTGCTAATAAAAAGTGATATATACACATACACACACACACACACACACTGTGGTGTATAGCATGGGTAGACTCTGGCTGATCCAGAGTCTGTTTAGATGACAGACAAAGTGAGTTTTGACACTATGTGAAATATGCCTGGATGTTGACTGAGAGGTTTTAAGAGAGTGAAAAAAGCCGTTTAACAGGTCTGGAAAGGCCTCACAAAAACCTGCTGAACTCAAACTGTTCACAGTCACAGGCATGATGTCTTATAACAGACATTAAAAAGTAAAATGAACTGGTCTATGATCTTATTTTGGTCCCAATGACATTTATGCTGTAAAAATTGTAAATATAAATTGTAATATAAAAATATACTTTTAAGCCCAAATGATGCGCTTTTCTCATTCAACCTTGTAACATTAGAAAGGAAATGAGACTTTAGGTGGAATAGGTTATGAAATAATTTATGGCCATTATCCTAGATCCAAATTCTGAAGAAAATATGTATTAAAACTCTACCAAACTCTGTTAAAACTTAAACAGTATGCTTACGGAATTATATGATAAGTGAAATCCATCAGTTGCGACTCGAAACAACTTCCTCTTGTTAAGAAAACGTAACAACAATATATCTTGTTTTCTTTTCTCTCTGCTTTGGTGATCTAAAATTAGCCTAAAGAGATGGAACAAAAACCCCTTCACGGTCGTGGGAAATATAAGAAGCATATATAATCTGGAGAAATAAATGCCAACAAGTTACAACAAGTTACCCAAAAAAAAAGTTTTCCATTTGCCTAAAGATTTACGCACCGGATGAGTTCCTCTCTGTAGTCGCGCTTAGTCCATGCATTGCATTTTGTGGTGTTTTAAGTGCTGATTAACAGTGTGTTCAACTATTTTTTATATATAGATAGTATATTAAATGACATTAAGTGCTGTAGGGGTCGAATTATTACATTTTATGAATATATTATCTATAGTTAATGGCAGTAGTAGCTCCCTAGTCTCCTGTAATTAAGTTTTAATTGGCAGCTCCATGGGCTTTGAAACCTAAATAGGAACTTTTCAAACAGATCTTAAATCCACAGTGCAGAAATAAGTAGTGAATGAGCTGATTAAAAACAGTTTATAGAGAATATATGATCCATACCTGGTGGTGATAGGGGCTGTAGGAGCTGAAATAGGGCTGAGGACCAAACACTTGGTACATCACATCCAGGCAGCTCATGGCGAAGAAATCACGGAGAAGAACCAAGCTTCATTTAGAGAGCAGGTCTGTAAAGACGGAGAGGAAATAATAATCCCGGCGGTGAAGGACACAGTGGAGAGAGTCTGTCTGCTGCGCTGTTCTGCGCTCTTCACGCACTGGACTGCGGCCGTGCGCACAGAAGGGAACCTCCTCCACCCTCCTCCTCCTCCCTCCACACACCCAGTCTGACGACTCCCTCCCGCCAATCAGAAGCCAGAGCGCTACCTCTACCTTAATGGGCTTTTAATTACGGACACAAAATTATAACATCTATAAAGCTATAAACTCAAATCTAAAACATTTTAATGATCCAACACATTTTGCATTTCTGCTAATTTCACATGCATTCATATTTCTTGCATTCGTTTTATTGCACAACATGGCAAAGCTGTTATCCATATATTTTCATGATTGAAGTCCTCTACTGATTATGTGTTTTTATTTGAGGTACTGGTCATGTTACAGTTTCCTTCTGCATTGACTCGCCTGAGCATTCAAGCTTAATCTAGAAAGTATAAATTCCTTCTTGAACTTGGAAAAAATAGGTGGCAAAAATATCTTCACTCAGAAGTCCACATTGTAGCTTTTTTCTGTGCTTTTAACCACATGTGCAGTTAGAGTAGATATTGACTATTAAAGTATTGATTAGCTTGGCAGACTTGGCAATATGGATGCACATAGTATCTCACAAAAGTGAGTACACACCTCACGTATTTGTAAATATTGGAATATATCTTTTCATGTGACAACACTGAAGAAATGACACTTTGCTGCAATGTAAAGTGGTGAGTGTATAACTTGTATAACAGTGAAAATTTGCTGTCCCCTCAAGATAACACATCACATTCGTTTTTTCGTTCTTAAGTGTTGTCACATGAAAAGATATAATCAAATATTTACACAAATGTGCAGGGTGTACTCATTTTTGTGAGATACTGTATCTCAGTAAATAACCATCATGTATTCAGCCGAGTCACAGTATAAATAGTATTTTACATTTAAAAATGTATTAAAGGAAACCTGAAGGAGTCTGTTTGAATGGAGCTACAACAACATTAATATCTATCTAATATCTAAGTACTGAAATCTATAATTTAAAAGGGCTTTGCTAAAGTTTGACTGAGCCAACACTAGCACAGACCCAGTACAGACGTCTTTAGCAAGTCACACAGACCCAGGTGAACTAAAGGCCTTATCCAGTATGAGCATAGCCAGAGATGTACAGCCAGCATCAGATACAAGCAGCTCAGACCCTCATGAGGTGCTGCTACACCAAATGACCCTGCAGATTGCCCCCCCAGCAGGGTGGGATTGGTAATCTGGCATACCGGGCAAATGCCCGGTGAGCAGGCCGCACCTTTGGGGCTGGTGTAAACATAAATTATTTATTTATATAACTGTTTTTAAAAAACGGGCCAATGATCGGCCTATAAAGCATGGACAGTGGCCCATTGGGTAATTTTCTGTACTGACATTGGGCTGGCCCAATCACATCTCTTACTAGCCCCCACCCCCTCTGCTCTCTGTTTCTTGCGTTACGGGACAAAAAACACAGGACAGCAGGGAGGGAGGGTCATTTACCCTGGGGACGCTGGGGACATGTAGCCACCACTTTCTGAAAGCATTTGTTAAAAATGTTCTGAAAAATAGCTTGCACCAAGAAATGTTGATTAACAAATGAAAATGCTATGAGAAAGGTTTATTTGCACAATAAGCCTGCAATGCAATGTAAATATAAAAGAAACATCTGCATTGTCCAAAAACTTAGTAACTTAAGCAAAAAATAATAATAAGCCACTGATTACTGCATTATATTTTATTATATTTTTATATTGTGAATTGTCACCTACCACCTGAATTTCGTGCTTCCCTTTATAAAAATAATAATGTCTCCAGAATGCAGGAAATTAAGCGTTTAATGCTGAAAATCTTATGGGGGAGGACCCCCAGACCCCCCTATCAAATATTTAATCTATAAATATTTTTTCAAAATATTAGCTCTATTACAATATATTCTTGTCTAGTAGTCATGCACACCAATCTTGTGCAAATGTTATGTCTCAGTGTTTCATAACACCCCTAATCAGACTCCTAAATAGAGCTCAAACCAGCACTGGATTTTTCTTACCCTAAGGACAAGTCTATCAGAGGTCTCCATTCAGGCTTATTACAGAGACAGACAAAGACAAAAGAGGATTGCAGTGAAAGCACTGCGATGTCAGGTGTAACTGTGCAGCAATGGCAAATTGTTTACATGGCAGACTTTTGCTTAGGGCCCCAGGGAGGTCCAGACCGGCTCTGTCTACAGTAAGACTGTTTGCCTCGCAAGCTTAATAGAATGCAACTCAAGCTATGTGAAAATGACAAGCAGCAGTTTAAAGTTCTACAAGTTTATGCTTAATATTTTCTTACTGATTCAAAATGTAATACCCGATAGTAAGTAGTGGGTGTAGTTAGTGATCATTATGTTTCCTGTATGCACAGTTACAGTTTTATTAGTGTTTGAAGCCACAGTTAAGAATGTAACTTACTGGCACTTACTTCTAATTGAATGAGTAAACAAATCAAAGTAACAAACGAGTGGAATGTAATGCTATGAAGTCCCACAATTCCTCAGTGGCCTCCCAACTTCTGGAGGTCAAAAGTCAAATAGCTTGCTTCCATTTTGGCGCTATTACTAGAGGTCAGGGTTCACCAACATCTTACCCAACAGAAGCACTTTCTATTCAGACCGATTCATTTCACTTACATTTCTGTCATTTTTTCATTCACTATTTGAACTAGTGGTGCTAATTAGCAGAGTTTCAGGAGCGGGAACACACATCAACCACGTCATCGCCAGCATTTCCATAAATACCCACACGTCCTAACTCCTCACCTTCGCTCTCGTATCCTGCATCCCTCCCCCCCACCCCTCTCTCTGTCCTGCCTCCTGATCTTCTGATAGGGTTATAAGGGGGTCCGTCGTGCCCGGGTGCTACGGCGGATTTCCTTATCGTAGCTTCCCCACAACGCTTTCGAACGTCTCTTTGGCAACCGCAAGTCTCGTACATCTTCTGTTTCGATCATCAATAAATCATTTAATCATACCTGTCGATTGTGTGGTCCTTGCTAGTGAAATTATAATAATTTCATATAATTTGGGTTTGCATTCCTGGTTCCTGCCTGTGGTTAGGTTTAGACTGGTTAAGATTAGGGAAAGATCACAGTTTTGGTAAAGTGTAAACATGTCATGTCTTATGCCTCAACTCATTGGTGACCTCTTTTAATATTAAATCAAGATTCAGTCTTTGCTGAACTTAAACTGACTGCCTTAAGTGCCAAAATATCACCATAAAACAAAAATGAGGATTTTGTAGGAAAACATGACTAACGTCAGTCAGTCAATATTTTGCACATGTGTTCATTAAAAATATGTAAATAGGGTGACATTACATTTCTCTCAAAATGCACTTGCTGTTGCTAATTAGCAAGTTAATTTCTAACAGACAGGGTTGCTGTCAAACATGTTCACCTTTAGATGTTAAGTTTGCATTATCATCTGACTTCTAATAACGTGCTCACAACAGAAACACCACACCCACAGCAGAGGAAAAAAGTACTCGGGATTTCCAACACTAAATGTCTGATTGCATCCTATGTGAAAATTACTGAACACACAGCTGGGAAGTTTGTGGTCAGTTGCACCAATTTATTTAGACTGAGCTGTTTACATGAACCTTTGACCCTTTATAATGAAGTCTCCAGCTGACAGATCATTATAAACTCTGACTCTGACTGAGCAAAAGTAGCTTATTTCTCAAATAAAATGATCCTTTTAATAATCAATGTCACATTTTAAATGATGTCCAAATATTCATCTGATGTGTTTTTCTATGAAGAATTTTTTTCATACCACAGTGATTTATTAATTATGGTTGTCTGTCTTTTTCAGGCTTTTAAGCCATGTTATTTCAATTAACTCAGATATGGTGTTTTCCTGCACTGCACCAAAATTTGACTAAATTATATTATAAATTAGAGTAGTTAGTAGGTTAGTATAAAGTTTTAATGAGTAATACTTTGGGTAACTGGAAATTGTTTTAAAAGAGCATGCAAGCTCAGTCAACCTGTGCTACAAGCAGTAATAAATAAAAAAGAATATTTGCACACAATATAACTATTATGTTATCACCATTGATTTTCTCATTGTACTAATAATCTGTTTATAAATATTTGTAATTCTGGCATTTGATTGTCCTTTATGCTGGCCCCTCCAATAACCAGCACACCTGTTCCCCACCACAAGTGGTGCAGGAAAGCTATTCAAACCCAAAATATCTCCCATTGAAGTCCAGCTCAGCTCCTCTCACAAGCACTATTCAACGATCGATCTGTGTGTATCAACGTGATATCATGGCATGTCATGTCTATGCATTTAAAGCTGTCGACCTTCATCAGGTGACCTTCGTCATCATGGTAACAATGATAAACATGTGGTTAACATGAAACGATCGCAGTTTCATTAGGTTTAAGCACCAAAACTCCATAGTTAGGTTTGGGAAAAGATCATAGTTTGGATTAAAATAAGTAGTTAGTTGACTTAGCCCATTTACACCTGACATAAAAACAAAAAGAGTTTTGAATGATCGAGTGCTATCGGATAGTGCCATATGAAAGTACAGGTGCACCCAGGACACACTGAGTATGGATTATAATCATTTTAGTGTAAATGCAAATGTTTTGTCAATCAACATACAACAACTATGTTGGCAGAAATAGTACAGTTTTCTGCAAATAAAATCAAAAGTTTGGTGGCGCAGACCTACAGTGTTGTGGATGAATGCGCTAAAAATGTTTTCCATTTAACATGCTCATGTTTTTGGTGAACTGAACGTTTGTGAACGTGAACTCACAGACCTTTTGAGTTAAACTCAGTATAAAGTACTAAAATGTCTTCACATTATGAAGAATGGTAGCGCAAGGAAGCGATGCCAGGCAGACTGTGACTCTGAGGCCCTATAGAGAGGAGAAAGAAGCATGAGATGTGCCACTTAATTAAAAAGCTACAATAGCTTTATTAATTTTGGACTCTCTGTTCCTTCAAAGGTCAGTTTGTAAAGATGCT